TTTTTAAAAAATTACATCAATATTATTTAATTTAAAACTAAAGAATTGAATTAAAAAAAATTTAAAATAAAAATATTATCCAACGACGGACATAGGCTGCGTCAGCGCATGTCGTGTAATTTTTTTTACCCCTTCTAGGTAAAAAAAAGACAACCCAAAAGGGTTTTCTCAAATTTCTAATAGGTAAATAGTAAGTGTTTTATTTATTTTTTTAATAAAACAAAAAATAGAGTATGCCTTTGTACATGCTCTACGCTAATAATTTAATTAAAACAGGATAATTTTTACGATATCACATGTTAATAAAAGAATTATAAACATGGTTTAATAATTTTATCAATTTATAATTTTTTTAATAGTAAATTAGGCGGTTTGGAAAAATATTTTTTAAAAATAATTCAAAATATTAAGTAATAGATATTAGATGTTTTGTTAATTATGTGTTAGTTGTTCTTGATAGTCAAACTAATCAAGATCTATGAGTAGATAATAATTTATTTACTAGTCAAACTAATCAAGATCTATGAGTAGATAATAATTTATTTACTGTTTAATTTTACTAGATTTAATTATTAATTTGAAACGTTCAAATTTAACTGATTACTTTTTTTTTAAGATATCGTTTAATACTTTTATTTTATTTTTATTTTAAACAAATAATTATAATATATGTTAAATAAAAAATTTATTCAAATAATGATTAATTATAAATAAATATGAAATTTTATCAATTACATTTTATTTGTTTTAGTCCATAAACAAAATCCCATAACGCGAATTACACGGCTGTCTATATTTAGTTATTCTATCATTTTTAGTAATATATTGGTGTAAATATGATTCACTTGAATCCACCAAGGCAAAAAAATCTTAAAATACCCGTGAGTTTCATCCTAAACATGATTTTTCCTACCTCAATAAGTCTAAATGGACCATATTTATACTACAATAGCAGTGATGATGATTAGGTAATGAAATAGAGGCGACTACTTGCTTGATGAAATTTTATTTATTTTAAATCGGTTACAATAATAACTAATAACATGTTAATTCGAATGAAAAAAATTCGGTTCTTTTTAAACAACATTTTGAGTTTAAATCTTATAAATAAAAAAATAAAAATTAAAAAAAAATTTTATCGTATAAGATCTGATACAATTCAATTTCAGATTAGTTAAAATTTAATATGACTTCTGGATATACGAAAGGTAAATAAAAAAAATCAACTACAATAATAATGTAAAGTTTATTGATTAAAATACAACAAAATATATATTGAAGAGCTAATACATAGGGTTACAGGGGGGGGGGTATGCCCATCTGTTGTGAACGTGCATTTGCACAGAAGAGCAACCTCCTCCCGGTTAACCTCTAAACTCCTTTTACATACAATATATATATATAGATACACTGTTACTTTCTTTAACATAAAAAATATCCCCATGAATATTCCCAAAAAAAAATTTCAGATTGCAAATCAAAAGAAAATTTACCAAAAAGGGAAAAGAAAGAACTCCTGGGCCGAGGCCCATAATGACCAAGAATCTACCCAACCCATGCAACGTGTATGGAAGCCAACTTTGCATCAGTTATTATTAGGCTAAATTCAATAAATAATTTATTAATTATGTTATTTATTTTAATTTAGTTCAGAAATTATTTTTTTAAATTATTTATAAATTATCAATTTTATTTTAAAATAATTTACTTAATAAATATTTCATTAATTAGAATAATCAAATGTTTATCTAGACAAGTTGGTGTAGATAAATTATTCTGATAAATTTTTGAAAAATATTAAATATAATATATATTTTTGTTTTTTGTAATATTTTGTTTTTAAAGTTTGAATTTATATCAAATATAATAATTAATTAAGATAATAATTTTAATTTACATTGATTAAAATTTTAATTTTAATTTACAATAATTAATATTATAATTTTTTGTTTTTAAAATTTGAATTTATATCAAATATAATAATTAATTAAAATAATAATTTTAATTTACATTGATTAAAATTTTAATTTTAATTTATAATAATCAATATTATAATTTAAATTTTATTATTTTAAAATACACGTTGATTCGGCTAATCGGAAGGAGTTCGTTATAAGGTTTGACGGTGGAGGAAGTCAGAGCAACGCTTCTGCAGGTGGTAGGAACGGGATTTAGGGAGACTTGGGCTAAGATTTTTTGAGTGATTCTTATAAATTGAAGAAGAACGAGAATGTGGATGTGACTGGGAGTAGTAGTGGTGGAAATAACAGTGGTGAGGATTTTGATTTTATCCCAGGTAAGCAAGTGATGGATGACCTACCGTCGAAGCTGATCGGGCAGTTCTTGCACAAGCAGTTCTTGCACAAGCAGAAAGCGTTTGGGGAGATTTCGCTAGATATGGATTTGGAGATGGCCGAGCTTGAGCCAGGAAATCGGGTTTTGTGTTTTGTTTATGGGTTGAAGAATTCAGTTCAGAATTGTTTATGGTTGGGCCTAGTTTTGATAGCTTGGCATTATTTGTTTGATAAAAGGATTGAAAAGGAAACCAATAGTAATGCTCTTAGAATTGTAACCAGGATTTTGGTTTGTCTTGTGGTGGGTGTGATGTTCTGGCTTGTGAAAACTCTTTTGATAAGGGTGCTAGCCTCTTCTTGGAATCACTGTGATTAAGGCACTTTCAGGTCCACCATTGACCAAAACCCAAAAAATGGAAGAGGAAGAGGAGAGAATTGCAAACGAGGATAGGAATGTACAGAATGTTGGTTCAACGATCCCTCCAGGCATTAAGGCGTCTCCCTATTTGTCACCCAAATATAGGAGAGTGATAGTGAGCGGAATATTGCAGAAAAGTCCACGAGATAAAACTCCTAAACTTCCCGCATGGCTTCTAAGAAGGGAGATTAAGAAGATCAGGGGATAAGTATAGATCACCTTCACAATTTGAACCCTAAGAATGTTCCGGCTTGGAATATGAAGAGGCTGATGAATATTATTCGGAGTAGTTCCCTTTCTACATTGGATGAGGGGATACAAGATAGTACTTATGGGGATGAGTCAACTGAAATTAGAAGTGAATATGAGACAAAGATTGCAGCAAGAAAAATATTCCAGAATGTTGCTAAGCCAGGTTCCAAGTATATGTCCTTGATCTGTTACCTTTTGTTTTCAAATATTGTTTTCTGTGCCTTGAATAATTAAGCTCAATTCTAGATTTTCTCTTAAGGCTTTTGGCATAAACTTTTGCTTTAGTGCTTGGACATGTTTTATATGAAGTAACCATTACAGTGAGGAATACTTGCTCTTTATCTCCGTGGTATATTGTATACGGAGGATAAAACTGCATGATTGTCGTTTCTTTTTTTTTTCTGCCTGGTCAGCAAGTGGATGTTTTTCAGTCACATAATATTTTGATAAAGGAGCATGACGTGACCTAAGTGCAAAGTGAGGGGAAAGTGGACAGGAAACAGACCAAAAAATTTGTAGATAACATGCTGGTGCATCTTGTGCACATGGTCTGATTGGCTAATTGATAGGTGATCTCAATCTCAATACTTTGGCACTGCCCAGGTTTAAGCCTTTAAGCCATTGTGTGAATTTGGCCTATGGGGTAGGTGGAACTGTAGAAGTGATACTGTTTATCATTTACTCTATCAAAGTTTGAGGGCTTTTTGTCCCATTC